CATTTTGGTTCATCTTGGGTGCAGCCCTGGCTGGGCTCTTGTGCTGCCCGAGGTGTATCCATGGAGGAGATCCTGTTAATAAATCCCTGCTTTGTTCTTTGTCTCTGTCAGCCTCTGCTCTGGGGCAGCCTCTCAAGGCATCAGTTTGAGTGGGAAAGGGCTCTGGGAGCTCCTGGGGAGGCTCAGGAAGGGCTGGCCTGGCACACGCTGCCCTCTTCAACCAGGACACCCTGACAGATGGCACCTGGCACTGGAACTGAAGATAAACTCAAAGAAGTTCCTAAGAAAGGGCTCTGACTCAGGCAGAATTTCCACTTCTCTGCACAACTGCACTTGTCTTTGCTGAGTTGAAAACATTCCCTGCCAAGTGATGAAATGAGGCCTTGGAGGCTCCATCATTCATTATCACATTTCAGCCTGAGTGGTCTCCAAACCACAACTTTTCCCAAGGGTTTGAAATATTATTTTATTTATTTTTTAATTGTAGCTGGTTAAGTATTGAGCCCTTATCTAAATCAGATATCTTCAGGTGCAGAATTATTTTTCTTTGGTTTATTGCCTTTTATTTTCTACAACCATTCAGTTGAAAGAAAAACTGAAAACTGCTGGAGATGACCTCAGATCATTCTTGTTATTTGAGGGGAAAAAGGACAGACTAAAAAAAAAGGACAGACAGGCAATCTTGTGCTTGTATTCTCACATTTCTAATTTGTGTTGTGATGGCATTGCCAGGTTTAGGTGCTGGGGGGCTCTGTGAGAAGCTGCCAGAAGCTTCCCCTGTGTCCAGCAGAGCCAATTCCAGAGGCTCCAGGACTGACCCACCCCTGGCCAAGGCTGGGCCCCTCAGTGACAGCAGCAGCACCTCTGGGGACACTTGGGAAGGGGGAGGAAACCCCCTGGAACTGCAGCTGGCTGAGAGCAGGGAGGATGTGTGAGAGGAGCAGCTCTGCAGAGCCCAGGGCAGGGCAGGAGGGGCAGGAGCTGCTCCAGGGGCTGGAGCTGAGGCTCCCCTGAGCCCAGGGTGCAGCCCAGGGAGAGGCAGCTGAGCCCCCCCTGCAGCCCTGGGGAACAGCAGGGACCAGAGATCATCCCCTGCAGCCCTGGGGAACAGCAGGGACCAGAGATCATCCCCTGCAGCCCTGGGGAACAGCAGGGACCAGAGATCATCCCCTGCAGCCCTGGGGAGCAGCAGGGACCAGAGATCATCCCCTGCAGCCCTGGGGAACAGCAGGGACCAGAGATCATCCCCTGCAGCCCTGGGGAACAGCATGGAGCAGAGATCATCCCCTGCAGCCCTGGGGAACAGCAGGGACCAGAGATCATCCCCCTGCAGCCCTGGGCTCCAGCATGGAGCACAGATCCCCCTGCAGCCCCTGCAGGCCCCACACAGGAGCAGGGGGTGCCTGGAGGAGGCTCTGACCCTGGGAACCCCACACTGGAGCAGCTCCTGGCAGCACCTGTGGAGAGAGGAGCCCAAGCTGGAACAGCTTTGCTGGCAGGAGCTGTGAGCCCACAGGAGAGCTGGGCTGGAGCAGCTCCTGAGGGACTGACTGCACCCATGGGAAGGGACCAGGCTGGAGCAGCTCCTGAGGGACTGACTGCACCCATGGGAAGGACCAGGCTGGAGCAGCTCCTGAAGGATGCAGCCCATGGGAAGGACCAGGCTGGAGCAGATCCTGAGGGACTGACTGCACCCATGGACAGGACCAGGCTGGAGCAGCTCCTGAAGGATGCAGCCCATGGAAAGGGACCAGGCTGGAGCAGCTCCTGAAGGATGCAGCCCATGGGAAGGACCAGGCTGGAGCAGCTCCTGAAGGATGCAGCCCATGGGAAGCTCTCAGGCTGCAGAAGCTCAAGGAGCTCACTGGCCCCTGTGGGAGGGACCCCACACTGGAGCACAGGAAGATGTGAGGGGCCCTTGCCCTGAGGAGGAAGGAGCAGCAGAGACAACCTGGGATGAGCTGAGCACAGCCCCCATTCCCCATCCCCCTGCACCACTCAGGGCAGAGGTGGAGAAAGCTGGGACTAAAGTTAAACCCAGGAAGAAAGGAGGGGTGAGGAGAACCTGTTTTAAGATTTAGCTTTTATTTGCCATTATCCTACTCTGACTTGGTTGTTAATAGATTTTTTGGAGCTCTCCCTGCCCTTATCTTGACTCACAGCCTTTCCTTATCTCTCCTCTCCCCATCCAGCTGAGGAGGGCAGGGACAGAGGGGCTTTGGTGGGCACCTGGAGTCCAGCCAGGTCCAACCACCACATAAACACACACAGAACTACAGCACAGACAGGTTCAGGCAGAGAGAACCCATGGGCTTCTCTACTCTGCTGTCAAGGCTCAGAAGGAGCAGCAGTGAGTGCTGTGACCTCTCACCTAACAAAGATCATTAATGATCACCCAATTACCTAAAGCTTGGCTCAGCTTAAAACATTCTCCAAAGGGACATTTGGTCTTAATTTAAAAACAAAAAAGAATAGAGAATCTGCCACTTCTTTTGCTGTTTTGTTCCAGCAGTTAATCATCCTCATTGCAGACGAACTGTCTTTGATTTCCTACTTGAATTGTGTAATTTCAGCCTCCAGGAAAGATTTCTCTTGTGTTTGTCTCTAGTACATATGAGTCCACTTTCTAATGCTGTTTTATGGTTCATATACTTACAAGCTCCAGCCACATGACCCTCCCACAATTTCAGATACCCAAAATACACTGAGCTCTCATGATTAGCTTTTCTCCAGCCTTTAATCATCTATTTAAGTTCTTCTGGGCCCTCTCTGGTTACTCTCACCCATCCAAAGGTGGGCACCAAACCTACAGCTCAGGATTCTCACACAGGTCCCAGCAATGTCACAAAATGAACTCCCTGGTCATGAAGTGCAGTCCTCTGAGAAGCTTCCATTTGGTTTTGCCCCTGAGCTCCTGCAAAGCCCTTTCAGCCCCATTCTCAAGGGTGCAGCTCCCATAGACAGAACCTGCACACGGTGGTCCCAGGGTCTGGCTCTACTGGCACTGTACCAAACCACTCTGGGCTTTCCATGGGTTGCACAGCCCAAAACACAGTGAGAAATGAAAGAGTTAATGCAACACCCTGCTCCCAGCTGGCTCATGTTGATCCTAGCTCAGAGCTGAGAGGAAAAGCTCTGCTCTGGACCCACCCTTGAGCTGAGCTTTGCTCAGATGTTTCAGCTGCCTGAGCCCCTCTCCAGTGCCCAAACTCTCCCCTGCCAACAGGGCTGTACCAGAGGCTACAAACATTCAATCCAAGCCCTTCCACTGGTGAACTGTGCTGGTGGTGCCTCCAGCCCAGAGCAGCACAGAGAGAGGCTGAGAAGACAACCTGGAGCATCTCCCTGTGCTGGGGTGACTCACGGGAAGCGCCTGAATCACCAAATTCCAGGGAGCCAAGGGTGGGGCAGGCAATGCCTCAGGTGGACATGTCTCAAGCTGCCCCGTGTGGGTGAGCACTGGCCACACACACCTCTCCACAACAGTCAGAAAAGGTTGTTATGTGCTTCAATAATTGAGTTGTGTTTGTATTTTGCTGTTAAAATACACTTCTTGTCCCTTATACATTTTTGTCAGGAACAGTGACCTGCACACAGAACCCCATGGTAGCAAACATGCAGCCTGAGTACTTAAAAACAACATTTCTGCCCCAGAGAGGAAGCTGGAATTCACCCATGCAATTAGGTTAGGTTAATGCTGTGGATAGACATTATCTGATATCCTATTTTGTAATCCTCTGCTAAGCAGGATGCTGCTCACTTTGGGAGCCAGCAAAACAGCTAACTCACAGTCAGACCTGAGCAAAGCCATGAGCAGTCCCTGAGGGGCTGAGATGAGTTCAGCCCTGCAGCTGGTAATGATCCAGAGTCATTTAGAAAAGTCACTAAATTCTACATTCTGCTTGAAGGCTTCTTTAAACCAATATTTATCAGTACAAATCTCAGGAGAAAAGACAAAAATTCTCCTGTCAGAAGTGAACTTTACAATGTTCTTCTGATTATCAACTGATTTGGTTCTATGCCAATAATACTTTACTCTTTTTCTAATCCTTAATTAATCCTTTTTAGAAACAATCTGTGTTCAGCACATTCTGCTCAGAATAAATCCTTTGCTGTGTATCTTTATCATAACAAGATCTTCCAAATCCAGGCAAATATTTTCATATATAAAGAACCTCACTAGATGAGTGCATAAAACAAGAAAAATCACCTGACTCCTGAAAATTGAGCTCTCACACTTCCCTTGAGCTTAGTGGGAATTTGTGAGCTCTCAGCAGTTACAGACAAGACACTGAGGAAATCTCCAACTTAAGTTCACAATGCCTGACTTAAGGCACACTTCTGAAAATGCTGCCCTGAATTTTCCATTTCCCCTGGCAAAGCCAGGAATTCCCCAAATCACACACAGAAACATCTCTTTCAGATTAAAAGGGAAACCTAAAAAGGTCCTGAGAACAGCAAGGAGGAAAAAGTGATTTATCATCTGGTTTTCCCCCACAAAAATAAAATCTTGTAATAGCATAAGACATTTCAACACACAGTTTCTATTTGTTCTTGTCACATTCAACCATAAGTGAACAATTTTTGAGCACTGTGCATACACAGAAATGACAAATACACATGCCTGACTAGACTTGCATTTGCAAATGAAAGTGACAAAAATATGGTTTTGGCCAAACAAAATTACCTTTTTTTCTATAAAAATGATACATGCACAGTACAGTTCCATAAACACAAGTGATTTAAAGCACACAGTGCTTCTAACAGCCAGGTTGAAGCCATTTTGTAAATGCAGCCCTTCAAACAACCAAACACTCCTTTTCTGGGCTGCTGCTTAGGAAAACACCACTGAGCACTTACAGATGGCAAATAAAAACCAATTTTTGAAGCTGGAGCCTTGTGTGGGAAATGTGCCTGGGGAAGCAGGCAGGATGAGGTCTCACTTTGCCCACTGGTTCAAAAGGAAGGCACAGAAGAAGGGCACAGCAGATGTGACTTACCACAGGAGCAGCAGGTGAAGCAGTTGGTATGATAGAGGTTGCCCATTGCTTGACAAGCCTGGCTCGCTCCATACACACCTTTTCCACATTTTATACAAATACCTACAAAGCAGAAAGAGAATCAAAGTTAAAATCCTCCACAGCTCCTAAGAACAGCTCCAGGCTGTTGATTCACAACACTCAGGAGACCCCCACCATTGATACCCTAAATCAATGAGCTCCTCACCCTGAATAGATTCAAGTACCCAAGAGAGCAGCAGGCGGCTGCAGTGAAACAAATGCATGGAAATCAACCCAAAATTAAGGGGGGGGCCAAGCCTCTGCTGGTGTTTCAAAGCAGGGAGGCTGAGGCTGGCTGCAGACAGAAACCCAGAGGAGGCAGGTGCAGCCAGAAAGGACAGAGAAATCCACACACTCTGCAAACAACTCTGCCAGCCCAAGGAATAATTCAGTGAGACCTTCACAACAAAGTGCTCCTCCACATGACATTCAACAACCACTGGTAAAACAACAATTCAGTCCAACCCAAAAGATTTCTCCTTGGCCCTCTCCACAAACACAACACCAAGCACTGCAGTGAAAGCCACTGGGAAAATGGATCTGTCAGTCACACCTAGGATGTAACCTCATCAACACAACCTGGCACCTGACACCCCCAGCAGCAAAGCCTCTGCCTTCCTTCTGGTCCCAGGGCAGAAATTCAGGCTGTGCTTCAGTGGGCTCAGAAATTCCCCCTGATGCCCACCCCTGCTCCCGGGGATGCCAGGGATGACTCCCATGGAGTCCTCAGGAGGCCAAAGCACCAGGAGCCAACAAGTCAGAGCTCAGCTCTACACATGGCAAACTCACAGGGAAGGTCATGATTTCAGTCAGCTCTACAAAGGGGTTTTTTGGGAATGGTTTGGTTTTTGGGGACTATTTAAAGTTATTTCCTTGAAGTTTTGGGGTTGTTTTTTTTTTTTTTGAGAGTCTTTTGCCTGTGCACTTATTTCTACCTATTCATACCCTCTCTAAATTCAAACCAAGGAAGGGAATTAATTCAAGGATCACTTTGGTTTTGTATCCCTATGAAGAAGAACCTAAACTCTGTGGAATCCATGTCTTCCTCTCACACAACTGGGACTACTGATTTTTAAGTTCCTCTGAGGTGTCCACAGGTCTCTATTCAATCCTAGCAGGACAGCCCATCAGGACAAGGCTGGTGATATTTTTAAAATACTACAGTAGAAAATAAAGACAAAGATTTTTTTTTGTTTCAAACGGGTCTAAAGAAACTGCTGTGTTCTTCTATTTCTACAAGTGCATACACAAGCTTGGCATTAATCATTGGCACCCACAAAACTGCTAATACACCTAAGAACTGCAGAACTACAAAACCAGGCTTTTATTTTTCAGAATTTTCCCCTGCTGTGCACATTCTGTGTAACTACATGCAAAATAAAAATGCAAGTTCTATGGGGGAAGATCAGCATATCATGAACAGGCATCCCTCTCTTGTCCTGGGAGACATCTCTCCATGAACTTCTCCAGTGTGAGAGCTTCCACAGGCTGCAGTCCTTCAGGAGCTGCTCCAGCCTGGTCCCTTCCCATGGGTGCAGTCAGTGCTTCAGGAGCTGCTCCAGCCTGGTCCTGTCCATGGGTGCAGTCAGTCCCTCAGGAGCTGCTCCAGCCCAGCTCTCCTGTGGGCTCACAGCTCCTGCCAGCAAAGCTGTTCCAGCTTGGGCTCCTCTCTCCACAGGTGCTGCCAGGAGCTGCTCCAGTGTGGGGTTCCCAGGGTCAGAGCCTCCTCCAGGCACCCCCTGCTCCTGTGTGGGGCCTGCAGGGGCTGCAGGGGGATCTGTGATCCATGCTGGAGCCCAGGGCTGCAGGGGATGATCTCTGGTCCCTGCTGTTCCCCAGGGCTGCAGGGGATGATCTCTGGTCCCTGCTGTTCCCCAGGGCTGCAGGGGATGATCTCTGGTCCCTGCTGTTCCCCAGGGCTGGGGGGCTCAGCTGCCTCTCCCTGGGCTGCACCCTGGGCTCAGGGGAGCCTCAGCTCCAGCCCCTGGAGCAGCTCCTGCCCCTCCTGCCCTGCCCTGGGCTCTGCAGAGCTGCTCCTCTCACACATCCTCCCTGCTCTCAGCCAGCTGCAGTTCCAGGGGGTTTCCTCCCCCTTCCCAAGTGTCCCCAGAGGTGCTGCTGCTGTCACTGAGGGGCCCAGCCTTGGCCAGGGGTGGGTCAGTCCTGGAGCCTCTGGAATTGGCTCTGCTGGACACAGGGGAAGCTCCTGGCAGCTTCTCACAGAGCCCCCCAGCACCTAAACCTGGCCATGCCAGCCCAGGGCTACACAACCTTTCCAAAACTGAACTGCTTCAGTTCAGAGCAGCATCAACACAGCCATCAGTGTGAGCTGTGGAGTGGGATCAGGTTAATTGGGACACTGGCAAGTTTAAAAAAAGCAGTTTTCCTGTACTACAAATTCCAATACTGAAATGGAAAGACCATTCATTAAATCCCAGGGTTTATTGGTGTTTATACCTTTAACTGCCTCATTTCATGCCATGAAGGGAGATTAGCTTTTCATTTAGCTAGCTCAACATTCTGGCACAATGTTGCCATTTTAGACTATTTGTCAAATGAAATTATGAATTTCAAAATTCAATACATCCATTAATATTTTTTAAAATTTTAAACATGATGTCAGAATTTAGGGAAGAAAAAACTATAAGATTAACATTAAGTTTACCCAAGCTAAATCTAGTGAGACAAACTAGCTGCCATCCAGATCCATCAGTTTATTGCAAACTTGTTAGGAAAATGCCAGTCCTTGGGTGAGCTCAGCCCTGACACAAGAAATGGAAATTTCAGAACATTTGTTGCCTTATCCAAGGCTGCCAAGTCTATTCATTTATTTGTAACCAAATGTTATGGACAACATCCTCTATTTGCCATGAGTTAAAGGTTAACTGATCAGAGATGGGTACTGTGGACACTGTGCCTGGCAGAGGTGTCCTGTGAGCCAGCAGCTGCAGGAATTCCTCCCTCTGGGCAGCAGCACAGAGCCCAGGCCCTGCTCTCTGTCCCAGCACATCCCAGGCTCTGCAGGGCCCTGCCCAGGAGGGGCTGCACAGCCCCAGGGTCACACCTGGGCCAAGCTGGTGCCACCTCAGCACCACACCCTGCTCCGAGTCTCGGTTCTCTCTTGGCTGTGGGGACAGAGGAAGCCCCTTCAGAGCCCCCCAGCTCCCTGGGCACTCCTTGCCCCCCTTCTGATGCCAGCCCTGGCAGCTGTTGATGATCTACCTGCCTGGTGGGTTATGCCAACTCAACTACGTTTTTCCATCTACGCTTAAAACTTTTCAAAGAAGAGCAGGAACCCACAGTCTGTAACTCTGGCAATTCTGTCTCTGGTCTCTTGTGGACAAATCTACTGCAGCCCTAACTGCTTTGATAAATGCAGGTTATTACCTCATTTCTCTGACATTGCTGCACTGAACTATCAGAAGCAAAAGAAGGATTTATTGTGGATGCTAAACTTGTACTGGCCTCTCCAAGCAAGTGATTAGTTAGGAGCAGCTGTCAGTTTGTTAACTTGTTTTCTCCAAGAGAGCAGTCATTAACTCCAGGAAGGAATGACCACAGAGATGATTAGCATACTAAAAAAGTGTATGTAAAATTCCAAAAGGCTATTTTGGAAAATATATATGCAGCTGCAGTGTGAGTTTAGTGTGAGCTCATAGCTGCCAAGGAGAAGCCCTGATTACATGGCTGCTCAGGTCTGCTTTTCCACTAGCCCCAGCCCAGACTGCACACTGTGGGCTTGTGAAGCCCTGACATAACAGCTACATCACTTTTCCCCCCTCCCCAGATTTAATTCCAAGGCTTGTTAAACCACCTATGAAGAATGTTCTGTTGCAGAGCAACCGTGTCTGGTTTCTGACACTTCCCTTGACATGATTTCAGAGCAACTTCTGCCTTTATACAATTCCTTGCCCCTCCTGACAGCTCAATTCTGAGCAGTCAGCTGTACCCAGATCTTTAACACAGCAGCTGCTGTTTCTGCCCAGGTCATCAGCTCTCCTACAGACCTGGTGTGTCTACCCAGAGACATACATTACAAGATGCTGCATTTACTCAAAGTTGCCGTGAGGTTGGCTGAGGCAGGAGCAGGGTCACAGCAGTCCTGGCTGGGGTGGAGAGAGGTTCACACCCTCACTGAGCACTGAGCCAAACAGAGCAGAGACTGAACAAACACTCTGTGGAGCACAGCAAAGGACCACCAACAAAATGGTACTGGGAGGAGAAGGAGCTCCCAGAGCCTCCCTGCTGCACTCCAGCACATGGCCAGGGCTCCCCACATCTTCAACCATGCACTTGGCTGAGCTGGAGCACATCAGTGAGAACATATCCCTGGACATGGGGCAGCAAGCCTCCAGCCCTGCATGGCAGCACAGACACAGCTCCTGGGGAGCTCCCACAGCACAGCAGATCACACTGGGACCTTCTGATGTGCTCAGGGACCTGAGACCAAATGCAATGCATTATAATTACAAAGGTATCAGCAACAACCTATTTTTCAGCCTGCTGGTACTTGTAAGAGTTCCCTGCAGTAGCCTGTGCATTCCAAGAAGTTCAGTTTGGGACCTGTACATCAGATCCAGTAATGCTCTTTTGGCCATGCCAGCATAGGCTGCTCCTTCATACAGACTTTACCAGGCAGCCAGAATTAGGGAAATATCCTGATAAATGCCATGCATATCATGGCAGATATTTAACCACCTTTGATCTCAGACACAGGTGGAATTCAGCCTGTGCCTGAAGCCATCCTTTTATAACCTGAAAGGTTTAGCACAAATGCAAGAGAAATGGCACCACGTGGCCTCTGAGCTGCAGCAGGCAGCAGCTGTGGGAGCATCCACAGCCTGAGCCCCACAGCCCAGGGATGAGCTGCAGCCTCCCTGCTCTGCAGCCCCACCATATCTCAGGATAACTGCTACATGCTGCCTACAGTAGGAAACAACCAAGCCCTGTCATCAAGAGTTATGGTAAAGCTAAAATTAACAACTAACACATGGCACAGATGACTCCATCCCTGCCTCTGCCGTGCTGGGAAAAGGGCGGAT